CATAAGCAAACTGATGGCATTCCCGACTGCCTAGCGTGTGCCAGCACCAATTTACCATCAATATGAAGGCGCGAATCGTAGACAGAGGCGGGTCCAGGACGAATTCCTTGAAGAGGGGAGGACGACAACCGGGTGTGGGAGGGGGGAGGAAAGAATTCCCTCCAACCCTAGAACTATGTAAAAACTAGGAAAAGAGTTGTAATCTTGCCAATTAGAGTTACTTTAGGCTTTAGTTTATTTTAGTTTTAGCTTTAGACTCGGGTTTTTAAAGCACTGAAGCCCGTGGCGTAGGGGGCCTGCATCCGCCTATGATCGCAGGACTGTTTGTTCCAAATGTGAATGAATGGACGAAAAGACCTCGAAAACAAGAACTGAAATAGTGGAAAACATATGTTTTTTATAAAAAAGTTGGAAAGCATATGTTTTTCATAAAAAAGTTCTGGAGATGTAATGAGGACCTGTAGGGAAGCTAAATGTGACTTGGCTGTCTGTGTTTCATCCCTAAGCTGCAAACAAAGACAGTATGCGGTGTGGATTGGGGTGGGAATGATCAGTGCAGCTCACAACTGTCAACATGGAAGCAACACTCATGTACTGTTCAACGAATTGCAATTAAAAAATGAAAGGAAAAAATGAGGATTATCAAATAAAAGAAAAATATCTCACTTGCTTCATTAAAAAAGTAACTAACAAAACAGCTTACTTACTAAAAATTAACTTACGTACCAAAATGGTTTAGGTTATTTGCTTTCTAACATCAGAAATTAAAAATCTATTTTGTATCACGAAAAAACAATAAATCCTTAAAGAAGGAAAAACTCACCGCTAAGCACCAATGTGCGCCCAGATGAACTGGAACTAATAACAGCTCATACGCAAATATATCAATTTTTCGAGTCCATCGCTTAACAGATGCGTATCCTTTACTGCTTAGTGTTGAGTAGAAAAAAGTGCTGAAGGCATATGTCTGAAAATCGAATAAATTAACCTAGTACGGCCTTTTATTTCAACAAGAAAATGAACATTAAGTAAACAAAGCATCAAGCTTTACGTTTTTTTTTTTTAAAGGATGCAAAGGTAGAAGAATTTTCAACGACACCCAAAGACTTTGACGTGAGTATTCAAGGAGTGGTGACTGAATCTGCTGATTTTCGTTAAAAAATGCTAAAGAAAGGCGAACCTTCGGTAGATTCTCGTCAGTTTTAGCGCGGTCACAAATGAGATTCAGATAGCAGTTGATTACTTCATCATTGATCCAATTAAGACCTTCCAGCGTTAGCAAATCTTTTCGCGTGATTTCTCCCGAAAGTCTTTCTTCCAGTGGTAGCTTTCGATTCCAGGCCCGTTCAACCAGCAGCACTGCCTCATCACTCAGTTCTACAAAAATAATAACATTAAAAAATAATTTATGTGGTAAAGAAACAAGTCACGAACCTACTGCGTCTAAACAGGGCCGAAGTTTTCTGATAAATTTCAAAGTATTAATCGAACAATTAAATAAAAAATTAAAAATTCATTTATTTTCGGCGAAATTAACTAAAGGAAAAAAAGCAAAATCAGATACATACGAAAGATTTAATTACAGACGACCCATGAATGACCAGTCGAAAAATAATGTGAACTGTTCGCTTCGATAACGCACAAAAAAAAAGTTTTAGGTCCCACTCAAAAATCAATTACTTAATCAAAAAGGCGATTCTTAAAAATCTATAGAAGTACTAAAAATACCTGGGTACTCGTCTTTTTCCACTACACGTGGGGGGAAGATGTATCCAGTTAGCGTGAGCTTCTTCCTTAGCTGTTCTTCCAAGCTCTGTTCCTCATGATTTCGAGCTTCGCTGCTAAAATATTTCGGTAAATGGATATCCAACAACACTTATTTGGAGCATGGTATGTAAAATGCTATTTGGCAAGCATATGATCCCGGGCTTGGTATTTGTACCATAATATTGCAATTTGATTTTAATATTGCACCTTCAATATTGGATATCTAAATACTTGAATACTTAAATTGTATTTCAGTTAAATACCTCACTTAAATACTTAAATGCTTATTGATATAAATTGCTCTGAATTGTTCAAACATGCTTTTCGAATACACCAAACTCATTTGCTGAGTTATAAAATGCTGAAAAATCCTGTTCACAATTTTCGGCCAGGCATCTTTATGATACGAAAGTGGCAACGTACTAAGCACCGTTGAGGCTCAGTGTAGTAGAAACCCCCGCAAATGCAAACAGGCCGAGACCTTACATTTCACTCAGTTAGATTCGACAGTTTAAATCTCTGTTAGTCTGAACAGCCAGCGGTAATGAAAGTTAATAATGCAGCCATGTAACTCGCAAAAAAACAGAGCCTATCCCGAACAACATCATCAATCACGCAAACTGTTTTTCGCTTTATTAACTGTCTGCTTCCTCCATCTCGAGAATTTGTTTCTCGGGACGGAGGAAGCAGATAATTAATAAAGCAAAACAAATCGAGCAAAGGGAGGGGGAGGGGAAATATGGAACGGTAACAGTGGTTTCGAAAAAAAGAAGCGATTTGCGACAACAGCAAAAGAATGGTTTAATGCTTCGGAAAATGAAGAGCGGTGACTGAAAGGAACAGAAGCTTCGATGATTTTCAACAGTTTGTTAGCAACGCCAAGTAACCTTCTGCCAACGGCTTGTGCTTTAGCATCCGGCATGCCCCTCTCATTTAAAACAATTTCTGACTACTTATATAGTCATGAAAAGACGCTCGTAACATCCTTCATTCGAATAGCCTCTATATCACAATAGCATTTTTCACTTTTCTTCCATCAAATTAAACTCAAATGGGTTTTTGCGCTAAACTTGCAGATCTCTAACAGTAGTAGGACACAGCGTTGCACAGCAAAAATGCATGAGAGCGGATTTTTAGTTGTACTGAAATACTGAGAAAACAATTACATTAATTGTTTTTCAACTTGCAGTTTTCTGACTCGTTGGTCGCGCAGGGTGCACTGCTGGCGAAACATCGCTAGGCGATGCTGGGCTAACAACTTCACATTCTTTTCTTCTTCCCAAATTGCTTTGAAATCATCACGATACCTGCTGTCCCAAACAACCTGCACATCGTCACTAAAAACACACAGGGCGTTCAGGAAGCATACTCCGCAACTGTTTTGCATCGATAGCAAGGCAGGTTCGAATAAAGGACACATCTTAATTTTGGTTCATTGCGCAAAATCCCGATGCAATTGACTTATTCTATGTTATTCACCTGAATGCGACAATTTTTTTAGCGATTTTGTACCAAATCTGCTGGGTTTTCGTTATTTTTCAACTTACTTATATACGTGATAAAATGTAATAGCGTTCTTCTAGCACTAATTTACACTTCCAAATGTTGTTCGGTATCCTTTTTGCTGATTTTTTACCTCATTTTACCAAAATTAGTGCTTGAAAGGTTCGACAAGAAAAGAAGCTTACAAAACAGCTCAAAAGGATTGCAAAAAATCACGACAAATTTCGAACAGAAGCCAGAAAGCGCAGCTAATCGGAAAAGTAGTACCAGAAATGCACTGCAATTTCTTCGAATATTTAAAAATTAGCATTCTGAAGTTGAGGAAAATATATGTTAACCACCTGGGATCAGTTCCCTTGAGATGCTGCTTCGTAGCACCGGTGTCGATGGGCCTCCTCTTATCAGACTTGATGCTTTTAATCCCGTCTTCCTGAAGGACAATCACATCACTTGAATCACTTGCCGATCCTTGTCGAGAAACGCTTTTCGAAGACAGTTCATCAGCGCTCTGTATGGCCGAATCCAGTACTGATCGGCTGTGCTGTAGCTTTTCCGGATAATCAGTTTTCGGGGCATATTGTTGCCTAAAAATTTAAATAAAATTTGCCATTTTTTTCTGTTTTCTATCTTATACACCGTCCTCATTGTTACACTCAAGATCAACCTGGACGCTACAATCGGGTTAATAAAATGATTCCATTTCCACCATCATATCGCCCGGATTAATCGACTTGGACCCCGGCACTGTTAAGATGAAGCCATAGGTCCGGTGCAACTGAACGGAATCCCCTGGTTGTGCGGTTAACTTCATCAGTTAATAACCAGGCGTCTGCTTTCAACAAGAATTTTTTCCCCGGTTACAAGGATATCCCTACAGATCACTTATCCACTGAACAGGCTAGCCCCGTGCATGATCAAGAAAGGTTATTCTAGTCATTCTTCGTTCCACCGTTCACTCTGCCACAACCAACCCGTGCTTTTCTAGTTTCACAAAAGAAAAATCTTATCTGATTTATTAAAATCTTAACATAAATTTAGCAATCGAGATACTCTGTATGCTTGGAGTGGACGAGTTTTGTATGTTTAGAGCGTAAATATTTCAGCAAATGTCCCTAATAAGACTATCAACATACCTCTGCGGATGGTGAATGGCCGCGTTACCCGTTTTTAAAATACCCGCTTCAAGCAGAAAATTCCGGTAGCGCTCCTTAGCTTCTCTGTCGATAGTCTAGAAAAAACACTTGTATTTTTTGATGTAATCTTTTTTTTTTTTTTGGCAACTTTTGTTGTAATCTCTTGTATTTTTCTTAGTGCTCCCTGTTGACGATGTCTGGACAAGATTTGTGATAAAATTTCGGCGTCTCCTAATCGAGATCATGCTTTATGTTTTCACATTATTTTTACAACCCATCCCTCTAAACTTGCCTTAAATGTGGCATTTTTGGATTCAGCTATTTTTTCTTTAAAAAAATTCAACCCTGTAAGCTAATGCTGAGGATCTCTGGCTAAATTTCGCACTCTTTTCGTATATCTCTGCATTTTCTGAATAAACGCAGAGAGTTTAAGCGATTTATGCTTGTGACCGAGAAAAGCTTATTTCTAGCTTTGCCAAAAACTGTGTTCCTTCGATCTCAAAGCATTCTTCTTTCTCTCACGCTCTTTGTTCTAATGAACCTTTTTACTTACTTTCATAATGTCGAGAATTATTTCATGTTCTTTTTTACTTCGTTTCATTCGCCCCAATTAATCGCTCTTCTAATGGAAGAAAATAAATGTTCCTAGTATGAAAAAACAATTTCCAGAGGCTTTTTTTAATCGATGATTTCTATGATTTCCACCTTCACGATTGATTTCCTCACAGATTTCATTTCTCACAAAGAAATTAGGTGCAAATTATGAAAAAAAAGTACTAACTCTATATTTGTCAAAACGCTGCCTCTTACTTGAGGCATCCAGACCAACCGACGTTGAAGATGGCGATGCATACGGCGAAAATCGATTCGACAACAATGTTTCCCTGAAAAAGATTAAAATTTTCGCCGTTCAACTTCATGCCTGCCCTAGCTTTCGATGCAGAACGCTCAGCGAAACCAATACGCACTTGTACACCAAAACATTTTCTGCATTCTACGGCGGTTAAACAGTCACAAAGAAGAAGATAAGTCGCCTTACTGTGAGCCTAGTAATGATGAACCAGCATTCCTTCATCTGCTTTCTTCCTAATTTTTTCTGGAAAGTGCCAGATACATCACATTTGTAAAGGCGAACTCCTCGCCTTGCTCCTCTAACCCCATCCCAAACCATAAAACTCCAAAAAAAAAATAAAATAAAATAGACAAAAGGATGCGTCATCCTTCGATGACACTCCACCGAGACGTCGGGAATCGATGTTCCCAGCGGAGATCGGATCTCCGACAGGGGTCGATTCCCTCGCTCCCAGAACTACCTATCCTCCCGCCACTTTTCCCACCGTAGATGTGATCTACGATGATCAGCCCCGTCTTTCATTCCCAAGCGAAACTTTCTCAATCCCCGTTGTCGGAGATTGTGACTCACGATAGT